CGAATCGAATTTTTCCTAATATTCGAAACGAATTCCACTTTGCCAAGTTCGATTCGCTCATCTCTAGTTGTGACCATAAAGCTCTATTTTGTTGTCGTCACTCTAGATAACAGTGTGCCAGAAGCTGTGAGACATGTCAAGATGGTGTTGGACATATTGAACTTTTTGTGGCATTGGTGCAGTAAAGGCTTCTTTCCGGCAACTCTACCATGCAGCCCATTTTTGTTTAAGTATCGTTGTATTGTGCACCTTGAAACAACCACACTGTCTTTTTCCCGAGCAGCCTGTATTTCTCCTGAGATTACCTGTAGGTTTTCTTTGTATCCCGAACAATTCTTCTGGCAAATGTGGTTGCAATATTTCTTGGTCTACCTGAACTTGGCCTGGTATCAAGAGATCCCCAAACTTTCCACTTCTTAATAAGTGACTGAACAATAGTGACTGGCTTTGGATATCTTTTGATATCCTTTTCCATCTTTATAAAGTTCCATTACCTTGTTACACAGGTCTTTTGACAGTTCTTTTCTGCTCCCTATGGCTCAGTATCTAGCCTGCTCAGTGCATCCACGTGAGAGCTAACAAACTCATTGACTATTTATACACAGATGCCAATTGCAATTTTGACCTGCGTGTGTCACCTTGTGTGTCTGTACCAAGGCCAAACATTCCAGGGGGTGGAAACTTTTGATCCGGGCCATTTGGGTGATTTCTGTTATCATTATGATTTAAAAAGGAGACAAACAACTATATGATAATGATCAGTCATATTTCCTATATGAGCTCCAAAATTTCCCAATTTCTGCCAGGATATACAAACTTTTAAGCAGAACTGTATTTCTGTTTAGACACTCTGTATTCCTTAAATTGGTAAACACAAAACCAAAAATGTAATATATTTCAGCTTACTAATCATGAGAAATGGTGGCTATATTAGTTTTGTTTTTTAGGCTTTTTTCCCCTCTGTTTTCACCTGGTGGTCTGACCAGTAACACACCTCCTGTATTGAGTGCCTCCACACTGGCTGAAGAAACACAAAGGGAACTTATGGACGGTGACGTAGGTGGGCAGGGTAGGGCCAAGACATGCTCAACCTGTAACACAGAGGAAGAGAGCAAAGAGCACTGGGAATGAATACTTGAGCGCTTTCCAGAATGAGTGCGCAATGGTGCAGAACTAACTAGGATCATTAACCCTTTAAACCAGTGGTTCTCAACCTTCCTAATGCCGTGACCCTTTAATACAGTTCCTCATGTTGTGGTGACCCCCAACCATAAAATTATTTACCCAGTAATTATAATTCATGAGTGTCGTTTTACCTCCAATACTGCTGCTTTCAACACAGTAGCTGCATTTAACAGAGTAGCTGCTTTCAGCACAGCAGCTGCTTTCTACACAATAGCTGCTCTTTACACATCGAAAATATGTGTTTTCTGATGGTCTTAGGGGACCCCTGTGAAAGGGTCGTTCGACCCCCAAAGGGGTCGCGACCCACAGGTTGAGAACCACTGCTTTAAACACTTATTGACCATTTAGAATTTGTTTGCCACTTCAATCTGGTAAGAGCCTCTTGTGCAAATGGAGAAATGTTTTGATTGATGGGTGCTTCTCACCTGTAGCAATTCACTGCATGTGGAGTATCTGACACCTACCTTGTGGTTTGATGCCATTATCACAAGAAGTGGATAGTTATCACTCATCACTGTAACTGCAAGAGAGCTTTTTTTGAAAAAAAAAAAAAAAAAAAACAGATTTACTGGCTGGATCACCAGATTAAAATGGAGGAACGAGACCCTAAAAGGAAAACTAATGCAGCCATCACGTCTAAAAATTGGTAAACTGCAATATAATAAATGTTTGCTTTTGGGTTTACCACTGCTTTAATAAATAAAATAAAAAATGGAAATATGAATTTATTTTTGAAGACAGCTAGTATACATATCTTAATCTGCTTTTATATAAAACTTCTGTAATCATTTGCACAGCAAGGCTCAAAAGCAGGGTCAGCACTGTATGCCTGTTATGATTTTATAATGCCAATTAAAGGACCACTATAGCATTCTGATAACTGCATGTGGCAATTACCAAAAATTCTGAAGAGACTCTACACACCCAATTTAAATCTGGAATCACCAGGTTATATCTATTTGTTAAATTATTTGTACAAAAATCTCAATGTGTGGTTATAATAGTTATTAACATCCTATCTCTAAATGTATACCAAGGGTAATCTACAAAATTGCAAGTGCTCAATGTGTTTCTTCTGCAGCACCCCTCTAGTTAGCCAGGGGGAGCTAGCTAGTTTTTTTGTTCAGAAAGAAAGGCTGAGCAGCAGGCTGGGTATGAGTCAGCCTGGGTGTGAATCAGCCTGGTCATCTTGGGTCAGGGTTGAGGGCTCTGCAGGTTAGTTCCCTGATACCTCCCCCTGAGCCTTGGAGAAGTTTCTAGAACTCAGTGGGTGAGGTTGAGAAGGGGCTGATCTGCACATGGGCATGGGGCCAGGACAGTCTTTAAGGATGATTGAGCCTGCTCAGCAGGAGGAGTAGTGTTGGGTGGAAGATGGAGTGAGGGTTGGTGTGGAGCCTGGGAGGGGGCCTAAGAGAGGAGTCTAACTGCAGGCAGGAGCTGGATGGGAGGATCTCTCAGTGTCAACCATCCCCTAAAAGAGGACAGCATGGGAAGCAGGGAAGGCGCCAGCCACTTATAAGGCCTGAAGGCAGCCACCAACCCACAAGCTTACAGGAGAGGACTGAGTGAGTAATCCCACACCGCCTGGGCCAGATAAAGGGAGGGGGCCTTTCAGGTAGGAAGCCTGACTATCCCCCATCTGGGACTGTTGATTTAAAAGTATCAGTTCCTGGGCCCCCTTTCCCAGGGATTCCCTCAGGCAGCTGGGTGAGGAGGACATTGAGGTGGTACACCAGGAGGACTGGAGAGCTCTCCAAAAAGAGAATCTTTGTCTGTAGACTTGTACATAGTTGCTGGGGAGTTTGTCTTCAAATTGCACTTTCCTTGGGCATCCCATGCATCCCTCAACTCCATCCAAGTTCAATGCCCCTTAATAATACTGTATGTATTATACATGGTGATCATATCCCCCCTCATGTATTATACATGGTGATCATATCCCCCCTCATGTATTATACATGGAGATCATATCCCCCCTTATGTATTATACATGGAGATCATATCCCCCCTTATGTATTATACATGGTGATCATATCCCCCCTTATGTATTATACATGGTGATCATATCCCCCCTCATGTATTATACATGGTGATCATATCCCCCCTTATGTATTATACATGGTGATCATATCCCCCTTATGTATTATACATGGAGATCATATCCCCCCTTATGTATTATACATGGAGATCATATCCCCCCTTATGTATTATACATGGTGATCATATCCCCCCTTATGTATTATACATGGTGATCATATCCCCCCTTATGTATTATACATGGAGATCATATCCCCCCTTATGTATTATACATGGTGATCATATCCCCCTTATGTATTATACATGGTGATCATATCCCCCTTATGTATTATACATGGAGATCATATCCCCCCTTATGTATTATACATGGAGATCATATCCCCCTTATGTATTATACATGGTGATCATATCCCCCCTTATGTATTATACATGGAGATCATATCCCCCCTTATGTATTATACATGGAGATCATATCCCCTCTTATGTATCATACATGGAGATCATTTCCCCCTTATGTATTATACATGGAGATCATATCCCCCCTTATGTATTATACATGGAGATCATATATCCCCCCCTTATGTATTATACATGGTGATCATATCCCCCCTTATGTATTATACATGGAGATCATATCCCCCCCTTATGTATTATACATGGAGATCATATCCCCCTTATGTATTATACATGGAGATCATATCCCCCCTTATGTATTATACATGGAGATCATATCCCCCCTTATGTATTATACATGGTGATCATACCCCCCTTATGTATTATACATGGAGATCATATCCCCCCTTATGTATCATACATGGAGATCATATCCCCCCTTATGTATTATACATGGAGATCATATCCCCCCCTTATGTATTATACATGGAGATCATATCCCCATTATGTATTATACATGGAGATCGTATCCCCCCCTTATGTATTATACATGGAGATCATATCCCCCCTTAATCTCCTGTTCTCAAGAGAGAATAAATTCAGTTCCTCTAATCTTTCCTCATAGCTGATCTCCTCCATGCCTCTTATCAGTTTAGTTGCCCTTCTCTGTACTTTCTCCAGTTCCCCAATGTTCTTTTTGTGAATTGGTGCCCAAAACAAAACTGCATATTCCAGATGAGGTCTTACTAATGATTTGTACCGGGGGAAATGATATCTCTCTCCGGAGTCTATACCTCTTTTAATACAAGAGAGGATTTTGCTCGCTTTAGAACCCGCAGCTTGGCATTGCTGCCATTATTAAGCTTGTGATCTAACAGAACTCCCAGATCCTTCTCCACCATTGATTCCCCCCAGTTGTACCCCCCCAGTATGTATGATGTATGCATATTCTTAGTCTCCAAGTGCAGAACCTTACATTTATCAACATTAAACCTCATTTGTCACATAGTTGCCCAATTACACAGAGCATTGAGGTCGGCTTGTAAGTTGGAGACATCCTGTAAGGACGTTATTCCACGGCACAGCTCGGTGTCATCTGCAAAGACTGAAATGGGATTTATAATCCCAGACCCTATATTGTTTATAAATATATTAAAAAGTAAGGGTCCCAACACTGAACCTTGGGGTACACCACTGATGACCCTAGACCATGCAGAGTATGAATCATTAACCACTACTCTCTGAATACCATCTTTTAACCAGTTTTCTATTCATTTACATAAAGATTGTTCTAAGCCTGTAGACTTATCGTTACACATTAGCCATGTGTGGGGAACTGTGTCAAACACTTTTGCAAAATCCAAGTATACCACGTCCACCGCCACCCCTCCGTCCAAGTATACCACGTCCACCTCCACCCTGTGTCCAAGTATACCACGTCCATCGCCACCTCTCTGTCCAAGTATACCACGTCCACCGCCACCCCTCTGTCCAAGTATACCACGTCCACAGCCACCCCTCTGTCCAAGTATACCACGTCCACAGCCACCCCTCTGTCCAAGTATACCACGTCCATCGCCACCTCTCTGTCCAAGTATACCACGTCCACCGCCACCCCTCCGTCCAAGTATACCACGTCCACCTCCACCCTGTGTCCAAGTATACCACGTCCATCGCCACCTCTCTGTCCAAGTATACCACGTCCACCGCCACCCCTCTGTCCAAGTATACCACGTCCACAGCCACCCCTCTGTCCAAGTATACCACGTCCATCGCCACCTCTCTGTCCAAGTATACCACGTCCACCGCCACCCCTCTGTCCAAGTATACCACGTCCACAGCCACCCCTCTGTCCAAGTATATCATGTCCACCGCCTCCCCTCTGTCCAAGTATACCACGTCCACCGCCACCCCTCTGTCCAAGGTTTTGCTCACCTCCTCATAAAAAGAAATCAGATTTTTTGACAACTTCTGTCTTTCATGAATCCATGCTGTCTTTTGCTTAAAATATTTTTTCCAGCAAGAACTCATCTATGTGGTTTCTTATTAAGCTCTCCAGTATCTTCCCAACTATAGAAGTTAAACGAACAGGTCAATAATTGGTTAAAATTTTGACCCCTTTTTAAATATTGCTACCACATCACCGCATGATATAGTGCAAAAAAGTGCATCGCTAAAATATTAATAATCAAAAATATTATTTTGAAAAGTCCATCAATTAAAGTCTGTGCTCAAATAAAACACCATAAAGGAAAGTGAATCCAATCATCAAAGGAAAAGGAAAAAACAAACGTATGACAAAACGTGTTGGGTGGAGCTTAACGTGACGTCACCATGCTGAACAGCCGCTGGCCGGACTGTCTGTGAATTGTATTGGGATTGCTGCAGTCCCATGATTATCTTTAATGGCTTTGTGTTCTAAAACAATTGAAAGTGCAAAATTTTACTTTTAATAAACGTGTATGTAAGGACATACTGCACTATTACCCTTTTATATTTTGCATGCTTCTACCGGTGGAGAACAGAGTTGAAGCGGAACCAATGGCTGAAATTCTACCATCTACCATGGATAAGATTGGGGTTAACCCCTAAAGCGCTGTTGGCTTTTCATTTATTTATTTATTCATTTATTTTTGAAAGCCCAATAGCTCCGGTAAGAGCTTCTACTTACTTGTCAATGTCACCAAGGATTTTCAGGTGTCACCCCTTCTCTCCGGTCTCACTGAATGTGTGTTTTTTTTTCCTTTTCCTTTTAATGATTGGATTCTCTTTCCTTTATAGAGTTTTATTTGAGTACAGACTTTAATTGATGGACTTTTCAAAATAATATTTTTGATTATTAATATTTTAACGCTGCTTTTTCTGCACTATATCATTTGAGGTTTTGTATCTTTTTACCTCCACTAGCTGCTTTCACCATATGATTATTTAATCTCAGCGCAGAAATTTTATTTGGATTTGTAAAATTAATCAACATGTATTTTTAGAAAAGTTGATTGTACAATTATTATATTTTGATAAAAGTATCAATTTTATTGTTTTGCCTGGTTTATTATAATAATTCTAACGTATTATTACTATTTTATTATAGTACTATAATTATAATATTACCTTTTCTATTTGTATGTATGAATGTGAGTTAGGGACCTTAGATTGTACGCCCCTTGAGGGTTAGGGACTGATGTGAATGTACAATATATATGTGAAGTGTTGTGTAAATTGACGGCGCTATAAAATAAATAAAAATAAAATAAATATAATATTTTGGACAAGTACTGCGTTGACTATTGTATCCCTATTTCTGCAGATCATGCTGCTGACCGACCCAGAGATTGAGAGCAGTCTGCTAATTAGTTCTGACGAAGGGGCCACCTACCAAAAATACCGACTCAATTTTTACATACAGAGCCTTCTATTTCATCCCAAACAAGAAGACTGGATCCTGGCCTACAGCCAAGACCAAAAGGTAAGATGCAATCGAGAACCTCGCTCTAATAGGAAAGTAGAATATTTTTAGACTGGAGTCTTTGAAATCATTAACTACAGCTAATTAACACTTCAACTTTACTTCCTCTCAATGGGAAAGCAGCTAAGGTGCCAACTCGGAACCGGCCCAAAGTACATCCATTACACAATGCAGACAGATGGCACAGCTCGTGCAGGAAAAGAGCAGGGAAAATCAGCATTGCATCATGGGGGTTTAGATTTTTTTTTCCCCCCTGATTTACTCAGTTATCACTTCAGAGGTGCAGCAGTAGCTACAGACACAAGCTAGAATACATATGTCAAATTGTTCCCTTTAACCACTTCAAGTCTGGACACTTTCACCCCCTTCCAGTCCAGGCAAATTTTTAGCTTTCTGCGCTATCACACTTTGAATGACAATTGCGCGGTCATGCAACACTGTACCCAAATGACATTTTTAGCATTTTTTTGAGACAGATAAAAATTTCTTTTGGTGGTATTTATTCACCACTGGGATTTTTATTTATTTTGCTATATAAATGAAAATGACCAAAAATTTTGAAAAAAAATAGTTTTTCTTAAATGTTGCAAATAATCTTTCTTCATAAATCTTGGGCAAAATATATTCAGGTATCTTTTTGGTAAAAAAAATTAATTACTCAAATCAATTTATAAAAAAAAATAGATAATTTTGTTTTTTATATTTTTTTATATTATTATTTATGTACTTATTTATTTTTTTTACATACTGTCACCCTAGCAGTACAGTGTCACCATAGGTACTACTTGTGGGGGATGATGAAGATTTTTTTTTTCTTTTACACTGATACCCATAAAGGCTGTAAAAGCAATAATTTCTCCTTTCTCTGGCTGGATTCTTGCAGCCATTAAGATACTGTGAGAGCTGTGATTGGTCACAGCTTGTCACATGGTACAAGGCTGTTGTGAATGGCCTTGTACCATGTGACCTCTGTGATCATTCACAGATTTCACAAGTGGTAAACAATTATGTCAGGAAGTGACATCTTGTTTACTACTGTTCATGTGATCACTGATTGGTCAATCAGTGATCACATGAATCAGGACCTCACACAGTGGTCCCACAGTGGTCTCGCTCCCAGACAGCGCACACAGCTTCAGCTCTTCTGGGAAGGCCATCCACAAGGTTTAGGAGGGTGTCTATGGGAAGGTTGGACCATTCTTCCAGAAGCACATTTGTGAGGTCAGGCACTGATGTCGGGGGAGGAGGCCTGGCTTGCAGTCTCCGCTGTAATTTATCCCAAAAGTGTTCTATGGGGTTGAGGTGAGGACTCTGTGCAGCCAGTCAAGGTCCTCCACCCCAAACTGGCTCCTCCATGTCTTTATGGACCTTGCTTTGTGCACTGGTGCGCAGTCATGTTGAAACAGGAAGGGGCCATCCCCAAACTCTTCCCACAAAGTTGGGAGCATGAAATTGTCCAAAATGTCTTGGTATTCTGACGCCTTAAGTGTTCCCTTCACTGGAACTAGGGGGCCAAGCCCAACCCCTGAAAATCAACCCCACACCATAATCCCCCCTCCACCAAACTTTACACTTGGCTCAATGCAGTCAGGAAAGTACCGTTCTCCTGGCAACCGCCAATCCCAGACATGTCCATCGGATTGCCAGAGAAGCGTGATTGGTCACTCCAGAGAACATGTCTCCACTTCTCTAGAGTCCAGTGGCGGCGTGCTTTACACCACTGCATCTGACGCTTTGCATTGCACTTGGTGATGTAAGGCTTGAATGCAGCTGCTCGGCCATGGAAACCCATTCCATGAAGCTCTCTATGCACTGTTGTTGTGCTAATCTGAAGGCCACATGAAGTTTGGAGGTCTTTAGCTATTGACGCTGCAGACAGTTGGCGACTTCTGCACACTGTGCGCTTCAGCATGCGCTGACCCCGCTCTGTCATGTGACGTGGCCTACCACTTGGTGGCTGAGTTGCTGTTGTTCCCAGTTGCTTCCACTTTGCTATAATCCCACTAACAGTTGAGCGTGGAATATTTAGTAGCCAGGAAATGTCACGGATGGACTTATTGCACAGGTGGCAACCTATCACGGGACCACGCTTGGAGTCACTGAGCTCCTGAGAGCGACCCATTCTTTCACCAATGTTTGTAGAAGCAGTCTGCATGCCTAGGAGCTTGATTGTATACACCTGTGGCCATGGAGGGGATTGGAACACCTGAATCACATGATTTGGAGGGCTGGCCCAATACTTCTGGCAATATAGTGTATCTTTCCTTTAGTGTACTATACTGTATGTCATACACAGGATTACTATCTGCTTTGTCTCTCTTCCAGTTGTTCAGCTCATCAGAGTTCGGCAGACGTTGGTTGCTCCTGAGCGAATCTGTGGCACCAAATCGATTCTACTGGTGAGATTGCTTTTAAATGATTTCTAGCCCTATATTTTAAGCTGACCTCCAGTCTTACACAGATGTACAGGTTCCTCCCCTGCATAGAAATTGTTTACTTTGATTTTACTGCACACTGTGACCTTCTCAAAATATTCATTGGAAATTACAGAAAATCAGGTAGAGCCTGCCTCATTTACTGGCTGGAGAACGTTTAAACATCATCCATCACTTTCTACCCCCAGCGTACTTGTCCCTTGGCTGACCCTTTATTTCTTTGGATCTCTTTTTTTCCAATTACAGAGGCTCAGCATCACATGTGGACGTCACCTAGGGTGGTCTGCATGCAAATACAGCCTGTCTAGAAACACCCGCTTCTCCAAACTGAGATCCATCCATCCATTAATTCATTTTGATATATGCATAGCTCCTCCTAAGAGCCAACACACTGATTCCATCAGGACGGAGGGCTCTTCAGAGGAGGACTGAGGGAGGGTGCTGTGATGTTTTTTAGAAGGCTATCTACAGCACCCTGCTGGCTCCTTCCATGAGCATTGCTGAATTTTATAGAGAAGCTCAGAGACCCAGTGATGACATCACTAGGTCTAAAGTAAGATATGTATTGAAAATGGTAACATTTTATTTAAAAATGTAATGCTGAAAAGGGAAAATATTAGCATATTGAACTTTAGTTTAGCCTCTTTACGCCAACCAGATGGAAATATGTGGCCCCACTGGACTGGGATTTCTTCTGTTGGGTGGCATATTTGTGTATCTGTCTATGTGCTGGGAGCTTGCTGCATGGCGTACTCCCAGCAGAGAGAACCAGGTCTCACCGAGAACCCAGGATCCCATGGTAATGATCAGGATCTAGATAATCCCAGGGTCCCATGGTAATGATCAGGATCTAGATAATCCCAGGGTCCATGGTAATGATCAGGATCTAGATAATCCCAGGATCCCATGCTAATGATCAGGATCTAGATAATCCCAGGATCCCATGGTAATGATCAGGATCTAGATGATTCCAGGATCCCAAGGTAATGATCAGGATCTCGATAATCC